GGGGGGGGGGGGGGGGGGGTTACTCTCTCCTCGATGTAGCTAGGCTGCCGCGATGTTCTCAGCTGGGGCGAGTCGTACTCCTGATGCGGCGACCGGATCGTGCCCTCGCTCTTCGTCTTCCCATTCGTGTTGCATCGCTCCCGCACTCTTTCTGCGTTTTCCTTGGCGGTCATCACCTCTTCGCAGTGGGTGATAGCCATCCGCTTCCTGTCGTCTGCCAGCAACACCTTGGCCACAGCTACCGGCGACAGGTCTGCTAGCCCTGAGCACGCGTCTCTGCTCCTCGAAAGCTGCACATTCCTCGAGCGTATGCTGGGCGGTGTCCCAATCCGCGCCGCAGTGGTGGCATTCGGCGGTCCTCTCCGCTGCGATTCTCATCAGATACTCACCGAAGCATCCATGCTCGGTGAGCATCTGGGTAATCCTGTAGGTAGCTCTGCCGACTCCGCGTTCCATCCATTCCGTCTGTTCAATTCGCCAGGATGGCTCCTGCGACTCTTCTGCAACCGGCTCCGCTCTTGTCCAGTTCCGCTCTCCAGTCTCGGAGAGCTCGCTGGTGATCCCGCTGTCTCGCCATCGCGAACAGCTTCCCCTTGATCCCGTTGTCACACTCGCGCAGTTCCCACGCGCGTTGGAACGTTTATGCCTCCACCCTCACTAGCAGGTCGAACAAGATCGACCCGGCAAGGGTTAGCGCCGCCTCTTGCGAGACCGTGCGGTACCCGCACACGATCCGTATACACATCCGTCGCTGAAGTCGCCGCAGCATCTTGGTATTGGCATGCTTCGCGGTTAGACCTCGCGACCAGATGGGTGCACTGTACATCAACCTTATCACCGAAGTGTAAAGTCTCCACCTAAAGGACCACCTATGTTGGAAATGATCCGACGCAGCATAGCGGTCTTGGGCACCAGGGTAGCGAAGTGACCCTCGAAGGTCATTCGCTAGTCCAGCGTCACTCCGAGGTACTTTATCGTCTGACCAACGAAAATACGGTCGTCCCCGTCTTATCTACGACTGCAGCGGACATCTCGTGGAACCAAATGACCTCCGTCATCTTGGTCTCCACGTCCAATCCCAGCTTCTTGATCCGGCCGGTGACTACAGCCACATCCGCCTGTGCCATCCTTTTCACCGTTACTGCCAGATCCTCTTCCGTGATGGGCAGTGGTGGCAGCTGCTGCGATGGTGATGGATTTCTTCCTTGAGACGCGCTTCTTCCAGATCCCGCGGAAATAAATTTCCGAGGACTCTCACGAGCGTCGCTCGGTCCAAGATTTCCATCACTGGGAGCTCCCTCGGCCGTAGTTTGTCCAGCACCAACCGGTAGGGCCTTCCCCAGAGGTCTATCGTACCGATAAACTCTTTTAAAGGCAGTCCACCTTCGCCCTGTACCTGAGGTAAAGTGCCTCTTCTCTCATCGCGTCTCAGCGTCTCCTTCCTGCGCGCTCGTTAGAAGGTGACTAATCCTCTTCTTCTCGATCTCTGGCGTCCACAGTAAACCGAGTCGCAATACGCTTGCCTGACGCATGGCATCGCAGCGTCACAGATTTCTACAAGTTTACGCTGCAACCAGTCGGCATCCTCGTCGATGTTGCAGGCGGGGTTGGTGGCTGGTTCCGCTCATGTCGTGGCATGGGCCGCGGCTATCAACATGTTCTCGTCGAATTTCCTGACCGCCCATCTCGCAGGCGGCGGATCTTCCTGATGATGAGCGTTGATTCTTCTTCTTCCTCTTGGGGTGGAAGTCGATGACGATGTAGAAATGGTCGCTCAGCGACTCCATCTCTACCGCCACTCTCCACTCCGCTACTCTGCGCGCTGTTGCAGGGGAAGCCCACGATAGATCGACTATCGATTCTCCCTGCCAGCGGA